CTTATTTAGTAACATGTAGTGCTGTCCTTGAATGTGATTGGTTGTCTCCGCTAAGGTCTTCTCATTGTCTCCATGTTTATTTTGATTGGTTGTCCTTATGACCTGAAATTTGACCTTCTTATAGGTTGATCACGAGAAGCTTTTAAGTAAATTGCAGAGAGAACTTTATCGCTCACTTCCTTCTCAAGTTTGTGCTGATGATATTGTGTAGAATGACAACGAAAGCTCCACGATTAAACAATTTAACTCAGAGAACATAACCTCATAAAAGCATAAGGGTTATACATGGCATGGTGAGGAATGTTCATGAATAGGTGAAATAAATGCCTGTACAATAATAATTCGGTAACTGCCTCATTTTGAATATAGACCAGTATGGACTTGTCAAGTTGTAACGGCTTCGGCAATTCGAAGTAGATGTGTGGTCTTTTGTCTGTTGACTACTATGAAGGATTTCATTGCATTTACTGTTGCAGTCGATTTGAATATCATTTACAAAACCAACTAGAATAACTGTAGCCAACACTACACTAGATAAAGTGGTCACCCTCTTCGCCTTCGTCTACATGAACACCAATTGGCTATTAAACGTCACACACGACATTTCATCACTCATCACTCAATGGAGGTGGATAACAACTATGGACATGAATTGAATTTCGACAATGTAGAAATTTTGGACGCAGTAGGGAAACACAAAGAATATCATCGGGGAATCCCTGGAAGCTTGGCATTCAGTCAACAATCAATAGATGTATAGACCCAATCTATCAACCAATAAGAAAAATGATAAACGACAGAAAAGTCAGAGGTCATGCAGAGGAACAGCCAACAGGAAAGTCTATATAATCAATGACACAACAATGGAAGGAAACAACCAATCATAGACTATATCGTCAGGGCAAGCCACTAAATCATTCACGGGGGGATATCAACAACTCACTTCATACTGAAATTAGTGCTGATGATGTCGCTGTCTAGCAAGATGATGAAAGCTTCATGATTAAACAACCCAGCTCCTCAGAGAACACAATACAACCAAGACTGTTGAAATGTTGAAGTATTTTTCTTACTTGTTGAATGTTTCGACAGAAAATAAAGATATCATCAACATAAATAAATAGTGATTCATCGATTGCACGTCTCAAAGTTTATATTATTTCAGTTTAATTGGTACCTAAGTATTCATGTCTTTTCAGTAGTATACTAAGTAAATCCACCTTACACATTCATTTTTCAGTGAAGAGATGGTGAATCAACAAGGAACTACCAATAGATTTACACGCTTCAACACACAAGATATAGAATGATGAATGAAGGTGAAATGCACACCCGAAAATCTTCCTCTCCAAGGTAGGCGAATTTCGATTAAGATGAAAAACCTTGGATGAGTAATATGTGTGATCCGGCTGGAAAAAGACACTTAGATGTTGCATGACAGACAGCCAAAACCCTTGGTTGTTGGAGTGAGGTCAAGACCTTGAGTAACAGTTGGTATCCGGAGGCCTAAGGTTCAAATCCAGCCACAACCCAGGTTTTTAATCATCATCTAGTTTCAATAACATCAGTCTGTCAAATCACAACTACTTCACGTAACATTATTGTTATTATTATTATTTGTCCTTTGGGTTCCAAGAGGAACATAGGGCTTCAGCAACATATAGTCATCTCGGCCCCACGAATACCCAAAAGCTTTCATTTCATTCTCAATCCATCACCATCATGTCACCCTCTGACGCCCAACTCGTCATTTCTCATTTAGCTTTCACTCAACGGCCTCGCTCATGATGTCCTCAACCGGCCTTTTCAGTGCATGTCCAATCCATCTGCACTTTCTTGTTCTTTGTTACTTATTCTTTCTGGTCATCTGATCTCCATCTTCAGTATGGAGTGAGCGTAGGCGGCAGCTGCTGATGAATGTCTTTAATTTGCTGGAAATGCTTTTCGTAACGCATTAAGTCTCTCAACTATCACATAGAAGCAATGACTTTACTGAATTAGTGTTGAAAATCCGGATGTTGTTCACGTTTTATGCTGGGTGCAATGAAGTAGATCTTCATACTAACTTCAGACTAATAACTAAAATATACTCATGAAGGTTAGATGTATAAATTCGATTTTAGTATACTGAATATTCAAAGCGACCTGCTTAAATCTTGGGCTAACGAAAAATTTTCCATCAATCATATTCCATTAAATCCTTACCTTTCAATTTGTTTTAATCTTTAAATGGTTTTATGAACGCATTATATACTCTCACAAGCTTTTAAAATATTTTCGAATAAAGAAAAAAATGTTCCACCGGTTGGAAACGGATTTGTAAATGCTTAAAAATGCATCGCATTACTATTCTTAGGAGATCTGTATGGAATTGCATATTTTTGTGCTGGCTGACTGAACTACCATCGTCAAAATCACACTCGATTTTGTGTTGATTTCCGAATCGAGAACAGATGCTAATGTAACACCAACTGCCTATTTCACGCTTATACCTTCAATACTGTTATTACTAATATTATACAGATGTAATGATCGTTCCTTTTAAAAATATTATACGGAAAAGAATTTGTCGAAATATTCCATGCTAAAAATCCCAAAGTGTATCATACATACTGTTTGGAATAAAGCGATAATCACTGTTACTATTATTATTACTATTAGACATTTAGAAAAAAAGACTGATTGGGCAAATAAATATATTCTTTTCATTGGATTCTGACCCAGTGGCTAGCTCAATGGTAACGTGCTGGCCACGGAACCTGGAGGTCGCGGGTTCGACCCCTGCTAGTGGGGTCGTGGGTGCGCACTGCTGAGGAGTCCCATACTAGGACGAAACAGCTGTTGAGTGCTCCCAGGTTTCCTTCGTTCCTCCAACCGATGTCAGTCTACGATAAATAACAACTTGAAATATTCTTTTTAATTGGGCTTTCGTCTTCGGCTTATAATTCAATCAAAATACCAGATATGTGGTGGGGGGATTCGGTGCACAATAATTATAGATCCTCAGTAAGTCATGAAGACGATAAGTTTTACAAATTAAGATGCAAATAATCAATAGAGTAATGATGGATCGTGGCTAGCAGTGGTATCCAGGATGCGCATTTCGTCCTATTTGGGACTCATCAGTTGGATGTACCTGCTTCCCAGTGAGTGATGTTGTTCCCACCGGGATTCGGACTTGGGAGTGATCGCTTCAAAGGCCAGCGTGTTATCCACTAATCCACTGAGCCACGATAGCGACGGGTATAGTTTTTAGTATAATTGTTTTTATATGATACCGGTGTTTGAAGCAATCGCCCTCGAGTCCAAATCCCGGTGGGAACAACATCACTCACCGGGAAGCAGGTACATCCAGTTGACGAATCCCAAATAGGGATGAAGTGCGCATCCTGGATTCCACTGCTAGCCATGATCCATCATTAACATAATTAGAACACTGGCAATATCGAGGCATCCGCACAGGAGCCCATATGCCAATAGAGACCGATCAATTTGGTCCACTCAACGACGGTATCATATAAAGACAATTATACTAATCATTAGAGTAATTAAAATTGGTAATATGAAACAGGTTATTCTTAAGTAGATAGATTGATTTTTGACTAGTGTCCAGTCATAAACAATAAATGATAATTACGCAACGATAGGAAAATAAATGAATACTGATAGAAACAAGCGGGAGCGGTGTACAAAGCGATACCAGAAGTTACATCATATTGACGGCCACAATAATGAAAGTGATCGAACAAACTTCCTTTGAATACAAAGTTAAGGTTTGTAAAGGTGGATTCCAATCGCCTCTGCTACATGAAGTAAGAGAGTGAGCAATCTAAGTGGTAAATTGATTGGAATGTGATAAATAATTTTGAATGCTTTTCTAGTATCCACTTGATGTCCCATGTCAACTAGACGTGAAAGTATGGTACTCGTTGTTGTTTTAATTTGTCCGCTGCTAAACTATGATGTGTGGTGCATATAAATACGATGATGGGCCTGCCTCATTGTACGCCCAACGTAAATAGCTCCACAAGAGAAATTAAATTGATAAATGCACATAGAAGTTACAGAATCAGCAGTTTGTCTTTATTTCCTTCAGCGCTAGAATCGCGTGGTTGTTGAAGATGGGACATAATTTAGCGGCTTGGAATGCTTTTTGCAAAGGCATTTTTTATGCATTGTGAAATGATCTCACTAGAAAATGTCAGAGAGTTGAATTTCAGCTTCAAGATTTTCTTCTTAGGAACTGTTGGCGTTCTTGTCTTAACCCTCGTAACATTAGTGTAGAGTCCAAGACGAAGATCTAATCGAAAAGGAATCTGTTTTTTCGCTCAATCAGCCTTCTTTCTAAGTTGAAGTTTATTTCATCTATTGACGTGTCCAGAGTGCAGGATTTAGGCCATGACTTTTTTGATGTTAGACAGGTGCGCAGGTAAATATTACCTATACATATATAGTATAGGTTGATAGGTTACAAAAGCAAACTCTACTGAATTCATATTGACGGATAAGTCCTATGTTAGCAATGTTCAACAATCACGTATTCTAAAGTCTAGTATTCCATGAAGCAACAAAGAGTAAGTCAACAATTCAAGTGGTTCAACGTCTTGCACAGTGTCCGAAAGATTACACCTGCACCGGTTAGCTAATAAACTCAGTTATTACATAACTTCTTCCTAGTGTTTGCCTATATAACTTGCTGTTTTAACACCGTTGCTAGCTTTTGTCTTCTTATTGTTCGGAAAGCTCAACTCTCATTGGTTGTTAACCTTAATGTCAATTTAGTGTTGTCAAGGTCATTAAAAAGTGTATATATTCAGCACCACTCTCAACCGTTCTGACTGTTGTTTAGACGATAAGAAGCACCCTGTCAACCGCCCATCTTCGCATGTAGATATTACTGTAACGGTTGACATTCTGATGAGTGTTTAGAGTCAATTCGTTTGTGTGTTAAGTTTGTATCGCCCGTAGACTGTTAGGAGGGACAACCGGTCATGGTAAATCATTTATGTGATAAACTTATTCAATGAGAAAGGAAGTTTTTAATAGTGAGAGACAGGTAACTCCACAGAAGGCAATACAATTTCTTTACAGTTTAACATGAAAGCCAGCTTAAATAAACAAGAAAAATAAGAGTTGCAAAAGGTGCAGACCGCAGGCGAGAAAAAGAACGATTGAATTGGGGTTTCTTGGGGATTCAGAGATTTTTCGAACTGGTATTCAGCATGTACTGACATCAGTTGGGGGGACATTGGAAACCTGGAAGCACTGGACAGCTGTTTCGTCCGACCAGTATGACACTGCTCAGCAGTGCATACTCGTGACCCCGCTAGGGGTCGAACCCACTACTTTCAGGTTCCGTGGCCAGCGCTTTACCATCGAATTCTAACTCACTGGCAATCTCAATGGTACTGTTCTGGCCACAGAACCTGAAGGTCGTAGGTTCGACCCCGAGCGGGGTCATGGGTGTACACTGCCGAAGAGCTCCATACTAGGATGGAACAGCTGTACAGTGCTCCCAAGTTTCCAATATTCCTTCAACTGATGTCAGTCCATGTTGAATACCAACTTAAAAGAATAATTGTTTAATATACAAGCAGATTTTAAAGGGAAGCGTTTTCTCTTCACAGATAAATGATGATCAACTGAAACAAAAAATAACATGATATCATATATATTTTGTAAAATAAAGACGGATTTAAAGTGTACTATGTAGACGAAATTTTATACATCGACTCTTGTTAGCTTCATTAGTGTATTCATTGTTTTGCCCTGACGTCCAAGACCTCCATGTAACCAAGCTGTACCATCATTATTGCATACAGCGCAGACAGCATAAGCTCTTGGTTCATTGATTGTACCTATTCTACAAAATAATAATTAGAATAAAGGTAAAAAATATGAGAAGTTGTTCAATAGTACTGTCATAATTATATACTGGTAAAACTTTGATGATGTGGTTCTTTTGTTTCACTTATAAATACTAGATGATGACTGAAGGTAAGATGAAAATTTCAACCGAGATCGGATTTGAACCAGCGACCACTGGATTTCCAGCCCGATGCTCACTAACTGAGTTACGATGTCCAACTGATGACCAGATTTTTATTTCACTTTAGTCTCCATGGTTTTTGCTTCACTACCACCTGAATTCATAACGCATTACTACCGCTTGATTGTATTCACACTAGCTGACCAGTCAGGACTTTTCATCTAAATCCAAATCGAACTGAATTAGAATGAGAGAGGGAGCATCATATTGATTATCACGTTGACTATGTGAGATAGCCGTGATTTGGCAGACTAGTATTGATACTGGGTAGAATATCGGTCAGGAAACCCGGTAGTCACTAGCACAAGTCCCGCCACAGTTCAAGTTTCCATCTCACCTTCAATCATCACCCAGTATGAATACTAGTCTCCTAAACCACCGCTACCTCAAATAGTCAAAATGATAATCAACATGATACTCCACTTCCCATTCTAATTCAGTTACACTTAGATTGGGATGAAAAGTCCTGACTGGGCAGCCAGTGTGAGTACAATAGAAAGTTCGTAACACATGACGAATTCACATAGTAATCGAGCGAAACCCTTGCTGATTGAAGTAAAATACAAAAATCTGGCCACCAGTCGAGCTTCATATCTCAGTTGGTAGAGTATCGGGCGGGAAATCTGGTGATCATTAGTTCGAGTCCGGCCGCAGTCCAAATGTTCATCTCACCTCTAATCATTACTCAGTACCAATACTAGTCTGCTAAACCACCGCAATCTCAGATAGTCAAAATGACAATCACTTATAAATGTAACTGAGCACGTAATCAATTACTTTTTGGTGGAACTGATTTTCGTGTTTGTTGGTACTCGATAGCAAAGTGTATCTCCAAACTTCAGGGAACTGATGTCTCGCCCGAGACCGAAACCCACATCACTCAGCATTGTATTCAGCAACATTATCACTCAACTATTTGAGCCACAATTGACCTGCTTCAGAACTGAATTCGATGACTTTATTGGTCACTGGAGAGTAATCATATCCATGTTATCGAGGCATCTATGTAAGGGCCCATATGTCAATAGTAACCGACCAATTTTGTCCAATCAGCGATAGGGAATTACAAGCAACTACATCATAACATTCATTTCTTTGTTACCATGTGAAAAATCTCTTCACATCAATAGAATAATCCTTTTTATTATGATGATTATTAAGAAAATGGCTATTTTATCCTTTTATTTTACTAATTCCCTACACCATATGTTAGAACTTTAAACTCTCTTTTCCAGTTCACTATAAATTAAGAAACCCTATAGCCAACAAGTTTTGCAATCGAGTTTTGCCTACTGGATATCTTTTTCCCAATGTACACGGTTACTTTTATCTAACTCAAAAGTATCTTTCACACTTTATCTCATGGTAATTCCCTATTTATTCTAGACTGTCTGTAGTTAAGGAATCATAAGGTAATAAATATGAAAACAGACTACTTCATTTCTTATAATATCACTATAGTCTTATCCGATGAAAAGTTTATATTCCCATGTAGATCACACATATAATAGGTGGAAAAACGTTTTTTTTTAGGATGACAGTTATTCCACCGTCGTCACCTTATGATACTGTATTATTTATTTCATGAGAAAGTCTCACAAAAGATAGGAAATAAATATTTTGTCTATCAGATAGAACTTATTGATTGCTTACTGATCTTCCAAGTATATTTGATTGCCTAGTTGATTTATAGCTTAAAGTTATGCAGACTATACTCCCTATCATTCTGTCATATTATACGGCTGTGAGGCATAGCCGTGAATAAAAGTAGGTATGAGACGGTTACAAGTTTCTAATCACAGGTTTCTTCATAAAATTGCTCACATTTTGTGAAATCACTTTGTGAGTAATGTAGGTGTCAAGAATAGGATATTAGACAATGAACACAAACTTTTCAATGAGGTTATGAACCTTCAGAATATGCCGATCCACCGTCTACCTCGATAGAGGTTGGATGAGGTAGGAAGAAGGTTCAGAGTGACCAAACGAAGGCGTGGTACCAGCCCATGAAATCTTCGGCTATTAGTCTGAGCTGAGTAGAAAGGTGTAAACTGCCTGACTGGGATCTCCGAGATGATAGGAATCAGCCGCTGAGGATTCTAAGCGATATAAATGAAGATTGGTCATAATGGCGCAGATACATTTACTCTTTGACGTCTTCAAAAGCTTGAATTTGTCGACTATTCTTAATTCTTAAGTCCCCTCTTCTCCCTTACATATCTATCTACTTTTATAGTGGTCTTTCCTATACACTTGTTCGTTGTCTACTACTATGAACTGTGGCAACAAGAAGTGACATACTTGTGTGTGATGTTGATTGTGTCTATCTATCATATCATCTAAGCAACGTCTATTAGTCAGACCTCGTGATAAAAACTGCCTAAGCAAAATGAATCAATAGAATCGAAATTATGCGAAAATCATCATGTATTCAGTTACCTAAACAGACAGTCTCATCAACATGCAAGCAATATTTGCATGAAACCATCAACTTTAATTATTTCAACTTGTTATTCATCGTAGACTGACATCAGTAGTAGTTGGAAGAACAAAGGAAACCTGGGAGCACTCAACAGCTGTTTCGTCCGACCAGTATGGGACTCCTCAGCAGTGCCCACCCACGACCCCATCACGCCAGGGATCAAACCCGCCATCTTCAGGTTCCGTGGCCAGCACGTTACCATTGAGCTAGCCACTGGGTCAAAATCCAATCATCCATATTTCCAACTTCTGTTAGCTCACGATATAGCGCAACCGCCACGCAATGTCATCGTTGAGTAACTGTCCTCACGACCAACAGGCTTTGCCCCCACCGGGAAAGGCCTATTGGTCGTGAGGACAGTTAATCAACAGTGACATTGCGTGGCGGTTGCGCTATATGGTGAGCTAACAGAAGTTGGAAATATGGACGATTGGATTGTGACCCAGTGGCTAGCTCAATAGTAAGGCGCTGTACACGAAACCTGAGATTCGTGGGTTCGATCCTTGGTGGGGTCGTGGGTGAGCAACCTTTATGACAACATACGCTTCATTTCAAGAAAACTCATGAACCATTAGGAATTCAGACTTGTATCAGTTCTCAATTGTAGCTGCAGCAGGACATATTTTTGCTGAAATACATTATAGCTTAATAAGTTTAAAAGCAGATTTTCCTTGTAGACTACGATTAGATTTGATTTTATTCGACACACTGTTCAATAGTGCTACATCAGTTGACCAAGTAGCAATATTGCAGATCTTCACTGAAAGAATTTGAGGAGTATATATGCGCAATCGTAATATGTAGAATTTAGATAGTGTAATTAGAAGAAGAAGAAGAAGAGGTGTATCTGAATAATATGTCATGTGCTTCGATAAAACACATTTCGAGGAATCTGATCACATATACATTTACTTGTCAATTCAATTTATACTGGTTAATGGTTGAAAGTCGGATTCCAACCAGAGACCACCGGGTTTCCGACCCGATGCTCTACAAACTGAGCTACGAGATCCGACTGCTAACTAGATATTTACATTTCACATCAATCACAATGGGTTTTGCCCCACTGCCACCTGAATTCATGACGCGTTACTACTGCTACGAGGTCAGAGACTGCTGACCAGATTTTTATTTCACCGAGTATCAGTACAAGTCTGCCAAACACAGAAAGGTAGTTTTGAAAAGAAAACAATTTGTTTTTACACTACACCTATCATGTTTTCTCAACAAGATTGGGATCAGCTTTGTCATTTCGCCTTTTTTCTTATCCCTCTTTGGTTTTAATTTCATATTATCTTAATTAAATTTGGGAGGTTTGTGGGGATTGATTGATTTCAAGTTGGTATTCATCATGGGATGACATCAGTTGGAGAAACATTGGAAACCTGAGAGCACCGGATAGCTGTTTCGTCCTAGTATGGGACTCCTCAGCAGTTCGCACCTATGATCCGGCCCCGCCAGGGATCGAACCCATGACCTTCAGGTTCCATGAGCAGCACGTGGTGGCAACATTGTAAAATGATCGGTAGAATTTGGTCAGCACTCTGGACTAGACAACATGAAGTCGATTGTTCTCCAGCGATTACTCATTTAGGAGGTCAACGGCGACCTGAATAGCTCAGTGGTAACATCGCTAACTGCAACATTGAGTAACGCGGGTTCCAATCTCACAGGGGACATCAGTTCCCTAAAGGTTGCCGATACACCTTGCTGACGAATGTCAACAAGCCGATTACCTCCAATCAACTAACAAACACATAGTCTGTTATGCAGATCAGATCACCAGTCACAGACCCAATTGGATTGGTGTAGTATTTCAGTAAGGCCATCATCAGCTTCCTTTCAACCAATTCCTATTTCGTTTGACACTACAAGTCAAGACAGTTTTAGTGACATGAATCCTAAGCCAGGTGTAGCTGACAACCCTACCACCTCTCAGTACATCAAGACTTTGACTTTTCAGTCACAGTATTGTCATAACAGATTATAAAGATCAGTATGCCTTTTATGCATATGTTTAATTGAGTATAAATTACAAATTAGTTACATCTTACTCGTAAATTATTGGTCTACAACCAGTTTCAGCATATTTTAAAAGATAGGCTGAATTGAGTGGACCATTTTTCAACGCGTTGAAACCTTCTCCGGTACCAATAAACAGGCCACCAACACCTGGTACTACACAATGACCACGCCAACCGCTACAAAAAATCAAAGCAATCTTGTTGACAGAAGACTTCCAAATACAAATTCCTTTCAGATAAATAAAATAAACCTTCTAGCTGACTTCTGAAGAGTTTTTATCTATGGATCGAGCAGATCCCACCTAAATAAAGGAGAGCTATAAATATCGAACAAAAACCTAATTTGCTAAATGGCAATCTATCATTCAATAATCGCCTTTCAGTACAATAAAATTGAGGGAAAAAAACATTCATTATCATCAAAGATGAGTTTTCCCATAAGTTCTTATAAACTTTCAGGATCAAAATTCTAACTTGATAGACTTGAATAAGTTGAGGATTGGGTAAATGGATTATAAATGAAATTGTATTTGTAAAATCACAAAAATTACCAACTTCTGAAGTTCCGCGACCTCTTGGAAGCCGTTTCTTCAGAGAATGTAACCTGTACAACTTATTGCATGTTCAAATAATAAATGGAGACAGATAAATCATATCACATCCTTCATACATAATAATAATATGGGAAATAAATCTCATTGGCATCAGTTATTACTTCTTGAGGTCAAAGCTAGGATATGATTAGGTTCGAACGTGTGAGAAAAATACTATAGATGATGAATTCGGTTTGTTTGTAGGTAATCGCATTAGTTGTAAGTTGTGTGTGCGTGTCAGTAAAGTGTTGTTTCGGATATTATTGTCCAAGTTGGTCGTATGGTTAGGTCTTCTCTTCTATTGACTGAGTGCATTACGATTCAACATGATGTGAAATGCCTCAGCTATCCACCTTTCTTTGTAGTTTGAAAAACCTTTGTGAATAATTTCATCATTTTCACAATATCAGTTTTATTACTATGGTAGGTGACGATATGAACAGCAGTTACCTATTCAACTTATAAACTATCGCATTATACAGGATTATTTGGCGGTCGTTTTGTGCAACTTGTACGCTCTTTAACCTGAATGAGGATGTCATGATATGATTCTCCCAATATAATAAGCATCACAGTCGACACACCCTAATATGTAGACACAATTCTGTGTAAAGGTGAAAGGAATTTTATCTTTTAAGTGAAGTAAAGCCTTCCTAAGAGAGCTGGTTGTCTTATACGAGCCTGTAATGCGATGTTTTTTCTAAAAAATTTGTAACTCTTCAGTTGTTATGAATGAATGGATGAATTATATTTGTAAAATCTTAATTGAGGTAGGAAAATGACGAATTTCTGACGTTTCGCGACCTCGTGGAAATCGCTTCTCTAGACAATTAAAACTTGTACAAGTTATCGATTGTTTAAATAATAAATGGTGACAAATTCGATCACGTTGTTCGTACATGATAAGAATATAGGAATAAATTTCATCGTTATGAATGATTAGTCTATAACGAGGTCATGGTGAATATGTATGTGCACATGTGACCCGGTTGTAAATGTGTGAGAACAAATACTATAGGTGAAGAATTCAGTTTGTTTCTATGTATGTACTTTAGTTATGGCTAGTGTGTGTAACGTGCTATTTCGGATATATTGTCCAATACATTCAGATTAATGCCTAAATTTTAAGTGAGCACATCCACTCAATGATAAAATTTCGCTTGTTCAGAACTTATACACGAGGACTACAAAGTTCATTACAGATGAAGACGACAGACAAACGGAAGTGAGAGATATAATCGACGTGTTACAATTAACCTAAGAATATGAGTAGAAATATCGAAGAGGGAAATCAAATGATGATTCCTGGATTAGTACAGTAGTTCTACCATTCCGCCAAGATACAACTGAAGAGCTATAAAGGACTTTAAGAAAACATGGAATTAGAGCTCTTTACAAGGCAACCAACACTCTTACGAATACTCTAGTCCACTTAAAAGATAAAATCCATTTTATCTCCAGATAATTGTTGATTGTGATGCCTATTATATTGGGGAATCATTCCGTGACATCCTCACTCACGCTAAAGAGCCTACAAGTTGTACACAAAACGACTACCAAATAATCCTGTAGAACTAGAGAATGTACAAATCAAGTCGGCAATCACTGTTCATCACGTCATCTATCATAGTCACAAATTCGATATTGAAAACATTAAAATTATTCAAAAAGGATTTTCAAACTACAAAGAAAGAGTAAATAACTGAGGCATTTTTCAATTCTCAGAACAAAAGTACATACACAAAATCAAAGCAAATTTATCGTCTATATTGTTTATACTAGGTGATAATTGAAGTTGAAATGAAGATTTGCACCGTGGTCGGATTTGTACCAACGACCATCAAGTTTCCAGTCTGATGCTATATCAACCGAGCTACGAGCCTTGGGAAACCCTATAGTCGTTGTTTCGAACCCGGCCTCATCACCCAGTATAAATACTAGTCTGCCAAACTACGGCTACCTCGCATAGTCAACGTGATAATCAATATGATGCTCCCCCTCTCTGATTCAGTTAGATTTGGATTGAGATGAGAAGTCCTCACTGGTGGGCAGTCAATGTGAATACGATCAAGTGGTAGTGACACATCACGAATTCACATGGTAGTCGGGCAAAACACCCCTTGGTGATTGAAGTTAAATAAAACTCTGGTCAGCAGTCGTACCTCGTTGTTCAGTTGGTAGAGCACCGGGCTGGTAACCCGGTGGTCGCTGGTTCGTATCCGGCCGCGGTCCAGATTTTCATCTCATCTTCAATTATCACCCAGTAAAAATACTATAAATGACAAATTCAGTTTGTATGTATAGTGTGTATGTATGTGAACTTTTATCCTGATCATTGTATATGAGTGCCGTTTCTGGATATACTGTCCACGTTGGTTGAATAGTTAGACTTTCGTTTCCATTGATTGAGTGTATTACAATTCAACATAATGTGAAATGCCTCAGCTATCCACCTTTCTTTGTAGTTTAAAAAACCTTCTGAATAATTTTTAATATTTTCAATATCGATTTTGTGACTATGATAGATGGGAAGAGCAGCGATTGCCGAGTTGATTTCTAAATTCTCTAGTTCTACAGGATTATTTGGCGGTCGCTTTGTGTAACTTGCATGTTCTTTAGCCTGAATAAGGATGTCACGCGATGATTCCTCAATATAATAGGCATCACAATCTACACAGCCTGAACTGTATAGACACAATTCTATGTGGAGGTAAAAAGAATTTTATCTTTTAAGTGAACTAGAGCATTCATGAGAGTATCGGTTGTCTTGTAAAATGCTCTAATTCCATGCCTTTTTGAGATTCTTAATAGCTCTTCAATTGTACCTTAGCGGAATGGTAGAACTGATGTGTTAATCCAGGAATCATCATTTGATTTCCCTCTTCGATATTTCTACTCATATTTCTGAGTCTTTTGAATGACATTCTTATGACTAGGGGTATAGTTAAACAGAATTTCCACACATACACGAATCAATGTAGAATCTGGCATTACTTCGAATTGCTATACTTCACAGCAGGATGCAAACAAAAGTCGACGGAATAAGAATATTTTAAAAAATTAAATGTGTAAGACAGGAGGAAGAATAAGCGAGTGACGGCAATTAAAAATCTTCAATACTTTGAAGATGACGAACAGTGTGTACATTTGCACCACTGCGATCAATTTTAAGTCATATCTTCGAAGTTCTCTAACCTCTTGTTCTCATTGTCTCGAAGATTTCAGCTAGGCACCTTTTTACATGCCTCAGATCAATCGTACAAGACTTCATGGGTTGATACCATTTCATAATCTGGCAGACCCTAGTGTTAAGGTTGGTAATCATCATGAACTGACATTAGCTGAAGAAACACTGGGAGTACTGGATAGCTGTTTCGTCCTAGTATGACACTCTTCAGCAGTGCATACCTGGGAATCGAATCCAAGAAATTCACATTCTGTGACTAGCACGTTACGTTGAGCCACTAGGTGCTCATCCATGATGAAATCAATAAATCCCCACAAACCCCCCAAACTGAAATAATCTAGTCCTCATTCGTGATTAACTTCGAGAGGTGATTATCGAAGTTCGAATGAGAAGTCGTGACCGACAAAGTTATACATGAGAACAGTTACTCGATGACAACATTGGATGGAGGTCGTGCTATATCATAAACTGACTAAATTAGGAAATATAGACCACTTGATTCTGATCCAGGGGCTCAAGGGAAACATGCTGGTCGCGGAATCTGAAGGCCCTGGATTCAAACCCCAGAGGGCGGGTTCATGAGTGCGCTTTGCTGAGGATTCCCACACTAGGACGAGACAGCTGTCTAGTGCTCCTAAGTTCCCAATGTTTCTATAACTGATGTCAGATCATGACGAATACCAACCTGAAATTAATAAACCCAAAAAAAACGTCAAAACTGAATTAGACCCTAGTTTTCTTTCAATCCAATCCGATTTCGGCCATCATAGCATATCAAGATACGCAGTGTCCAATCATGTGCAACAAACATATGTCCAAGCCATTTTGCTGAGTGCAGATTCACAACCTTATCGACTGACTTGCCTTCCTTGCCTAGTATCCAAAGCTTAACTTTGACATTGACCATATGGTAGTTCCTCTATACATGAATGATGCTAAGACACTAGCAGCCATACCTTATAGGCCTACAATAAGACAGTGTGAACTCCTTCGAAGTATACTTGTCCTCTGATAGATAGCTGGATATTTCGCCAGATATGGTGTAATCTGGGAAGTGGAATTCAGTTCACAATAGTTCACAAGCGTTACCCTACAAATGATATGTGCGAAACACATTCCAACTACACTCGTATTCCTATTTAGATGTTCATAGTCTTCGCTTAGTAGATCAATGTTGTCTGCATACTCTAAGTTAGCCAAGTGGCTTCCGAGGGGTAAACTAGTCCCCAAGAAGTTGACGGTACTTACCGTCATATTTAGTCAGTGATTAAACGTAACCATGATAACTGCTAAAGATGTTCAAAGGTCAGCTAAGGATTTGTGACATGATGTTGAAGTAAGTAAACTAGTCTTACGTAATAGAAAGAATCAAGAAACAGTAGTGCAACGTAGCGCAA